ACATCATTTTAGGTCATTTAACCAGGTAAGCTCTCTTTATCATCTAAATCCCATTGCTTAGTGTCCTTGGCACCATTATAATAGTTACTGAGTTTTGGTCTGTGTTACAGTTGAATGTGTGGTATCCCCCCTGCCTTTCTCCATCCTAAATCCCTCCCATCAGAGAAACTATTTTTAATTGCTCTCCACAAAGGGCTCACGTGGTGGTTGCTAGGAGCTCTTCATTCCCTGCATGCCTTCTGCCTTAAGCCTCCAGCCTCAGAAAGGCTCTTCGAGTGGGAAGCATGCACGGCGTTTCCGTCTTACGGGATGACTGGTACTCATTCACTCAGTGGCTTCCCCACTGATGAGTGAGAGGTTCTGCTTTTACCACCTCCACCACCTGCCTCAATTTCATCCCACCCCAATTTTTGCCGGCCTCTCTTAAGGAGCCTCTTTTCTCTAAGTATGAACATTATACATTTATATGGAACATTTGTAAATTGGTTGTAAGGAAAAAGATCAATATTGTCATTCTCATGGAAGGTTTCTTAGAGGTAGGACCTTAAAGCATTAAGAGTTGAACAGGGTAGGAAAGAGCAGAAAAGTTTTTTGTTGTTGTTTTGTTTTGAGCCAAGCAGAGTAAAAAAAAAAAGATACTAGCGGAGATGCAACACATGCCATGTTGGGGTGATCACAACCAGGACTCAGGTTGAAAACTGGAGTTAAGATTGGCATGGTGGAGTCAGCTTATGGAAGTTCTTGGAATCCTCTGTGGAAAGGAGATATTTTGCTACTTCCTTATTTATTGTATTCCCACCTCCCTGCTTTTCTGTGTGTTGTGGTTGCAGATATCTCTGGCCTCTGAGTGGGTGATCTTTACCTGCCTGCCAGGCCCCCACACACACATACCCTACACCCCACTGGGTTCAGGCACAGATAGCACAGCACTGCCCATCATCAGTCCAGCTTACACAGAGCAAGCTATGTCTTGTTAGAGTTAGTATCTGAGTAGAAATCTGTTTTTATAACATATACTTCTTTGCAAAACACTGGTGAAATCTTGTTGCTTTTTAAAATGAAAACGTATGTAAAATTTGGGGATACTTAATTCTGTTTATGGTCAGTGTTCTGACGGGTGTGTTAGTCATCTGCCTGCTAACAGCCTCTTGGCAGGCTGCGCTTACTGCAGTTATTGTGTGTTTACAGGCCACTCAGAGTTCCACGTTGCCTAGAGTTTTTCCACCTTCAATGTCCAGACAGTTTTTCTGGCTTTCCCAACCCTTCTGGGCATTCAGAATCACATTTTAGTGCTGATGTTTGAGGCCATTTCTCTCTTTTCCTTTTTGTTTGCCTGATTAATTTTGAATTTGAAATAATCGTATTTTATGCCTTTTTCCTGACTCAGATCAGTGTTTCATCTCTTTCTGTTGATTTCAGAAGGCCCAGAACATAAGATTTACACTCTTTTGTGCAGAACCCAAATGTGTGCTGATGGAAGAGAAAGTGAACTTTGAACATTTTTCACTCCAATACTGTTCCTTTGGTTCAATTTTTCCCAAATAGTCAAGCTCTTTTTTTTTAAGTACACATTTTGAAAATGGTGTAGCAGTCTTTCTACATACCTCAGCTCTCTCAACTCCCTAAGCTAATGCTGACCACGTTCCCTCTTCTCAGAAAACCCGTGACTGTGACGTTTTCTCTTCTCCAGAGCCCTGCACGTCAGCAGTGCAGACCTGGTCCTTAACAAACAGGTGCAGCGGGTCCTCAGCCTCTCACATCCCTGCCTGCATTTTCCCTGAGGCCCTTCTCCTTCCCATCTAGCCCCCTAGAGTTTTCAGGTATCTCCCCAGTTAGAACCTATGCTGATATTTTTTATTCACACTGAGGGGCAAATTGTAAGCAATAATCAAAGGTGTGTCCTTTCCAGGGATGGTCACTTTTTAATAGAACTCAAAGCTTTAAAGGATAACAGAAGCTTCATCTGCCACTATTAAAAGGAGATTTGGAGCCTCTCTGCTGCTCCTGGATGCACACTGGATACACGGACGCCCAGAAGCCCAGGAGGGGCCTGCGAAGATGAAGAGTTATCATGAGCTGTTTCCCAGTTCACCATCCTTTAATTAAAATAATTAGAACCTCATCAGTAATGGTGAGACTGCCTCATTAACTACCCAAGGAGGGGGTCTCGCAGAATGTTGCTGTAGCCCCTTTAACTGTTCCCTAGAGGTGCTGGGTTTGTTGGACTCGTAATGGTATGGCACCCCCAGTGTAAAGCATCCAGCTTGTCCTTCAGGTGGGGCCTCCTGCGTTCAGCTTCAGGCCTTCATATCCTATCTGATAGTCTTCTTCTGGCAACATTGATTATTTCCCTGGCCTAGAACTTGTTACCTTTAGAAGAGGAAGTGAAGAATAAACTCATTTTAAAGCCACCTAGACCAAATCTAGCCTGAGTCTCCTGCTGGTTGGGCTTCAGGTGATGATGCCATTTCAGCCATGGCCAAGAACTCCTGGGTTTTGGAATTAGATCACAGCTTTAGATTTCCCTCAAAGAACCTGAGTTTACATTCCTAGGTTTTCCATCTCTTCTTGATATTTAAGGTATTAAAGAACTCCAGTTATCAGTTTAAACCATAGCAGACACATGGCGCTAATGACTTCTGCAGGTGGTTTGAGCCATATTAGAGAACCTCGTCTTGATCTTAAACTGTCATCTGGATTCTGAGTTAATCCAGGAAACCAGTTAAAATTAGTAATGTGTATTGCATGTCTCTGATACATGTGTTTTCCATTATTTGGTCTTGTATGCCATAGTGCATGCGCACACAGACAAACACACACTCAATCCAGTTTTTCTAAAATGAGGCGAGAGGGACTATAGTTCCAAAAGGAAATGGCTGTGTGGCGCCTTGAAATCTGAACTTAGTCACATGTTCTGAATGAAATGACTCCAAACCTTTTAGTAGGACGTTTTTCTTCCATCTCCTTTTTGGAAAATGCTTTGATAAGATACTTTGGCTGACTTATAGTCATTCAAATTTAATTCTCTAAAGATATGCAAATAATGTGATAGTCATTGCAAAACACAGGACTTGTAAAATTGGAGTTAAGCTTCTATAACAATGGTCTTAAAGACTAGGTAGAGTTAGTTAATACGCGGCAGTAAGCAGCTGTTCTTCATCTCTGGTAAAGCTGGGAAAGAGGGAAATTGGCTCCAACTGTAACAGAAGAGATTTATAAGACTTGTAATGGGAAATTTATCATCAGTGGAGACTATTTTAAACATTGGAATAGATAAGTGACCAATAGAAGTGGAGGAATGATGTTTTCCATTGGATTCAAAATAGAATTTATCCTCTGCTCAGAGCACTTAAAACTGATCAATTATTAGATCTGTTTAGTAATGTTTAACTTTTGGGGGATCACGACCTCATTGAGAATCTGACGGCTCCTCTCGCCAAAAAACATGCACACACAAATAAAACTTCCCATACAATCTGAAGGAACTTCCAAACCCCTAACATCTGTAAATTTGACTCTTAATTTAGAACATCTCAGATGAGATCAGCGGTTCTCAGCCTGTGGGTCCTGACTCCTTTGTAACAATGAAAATACATCCTGCATATCAGATATTTACATTACAATTTATAACAGTAGCAAAATTATAGTTAGGAAGTAGCAATGAAAATAATTTTATGGTTGGGAATCACCAGAACGTGAGGAACTGTATTATAGGGTTGTGGCATTAGGAGGCATTAGGAAGGCTGAAAATCATTGGACTAGATGGTTGCTGAAAATCTTTTCTAGCTTCTCAAGTGGTAAGTTCCACAGCTCAGTTTTCCCAAATACAACAGTGGAATCTGATTATCACATGTCACACTTTGGGTTTTCTTTCTCCATTTTTATGCTTGGCATGCACAGTGTCAAGTAAAAAGGAAAATAATGAAATTGGAGAATTCTACTTTAGAATTTAATCCTTTGTCCTAGCGAAGCCGCATGTTTAATTTTAAATATCTCTGGTTGGCTTTGTGTCGTCATCATAGAAAGACAGTACAGAACTATGTCACCACAGTCTCTTCCCCATTCCCACACCCGGCTCTGGATTCACAGATGTTAAGTACAAACTCAGATGCCACGTTAACTATCCAACATTCTTCCAAGTTCACACATCTTCTAGCTGAATTGCTGTGATTGTTCAGCTGGGCTTGAAAAATATTATCTATTTATAATCTTTCATCAGTTTTGTGCGCAAGTTTCATTGACTACAAGTTGGAACATGACCACCCACAATTACAAATCAGGGAGTAATTTGGTCCTCTCCCTAAAATAGTTTTCAGAAGAATGTAGTAGTATGTGCCTCTAGATTTGAAACTCAGGATAGTGGTTACCGCATATGTGGTAAGTATGATTCCACATGCTTTTCCTCTTCCCTTCTGCAAATCCCCTCTAGTTTACCTGCAGTACTCCTTTCAATTCTGTATTTGTTTGTGCTTGTTCTTTATACCGGCAATGAGGAACTCTGGAAATGAAAATTGCCTCACTGTGGAGGGGGAGTGTAGTGATTTCTGGGAACTGGCATAATGGCCAGACGTGTCTCCTTACCACTCACCTGGCATGTTGGTTCTCCTGACGACTGTTTCTTCCCATGTATTCATCCCTGTGCTCCCTGTGAAAAACCCCTTCTGTTCCAGTTGCTCCGATCATGGTGAACCCTGCATGGAAATCATACAAGATGTGCCATGTCTGGGACAGACACTTTGTAGTGTTACTTCTGGCAGTTGCTTGAGTTCTTATGAGTCAATGCAGGCTCCTTGGGAATTAGAACTGGGGAAAGGACAGGCCATCCTGGCACCCAGCCAAGCTGTAGCTCTGCTTAGTGACTGATACAGTTCTTTCGTACCTTTGAAAGTTCATTGCCAGTTCACACCCTTAAAGGACATTTATGTCTTTCTGGGAGTGAAGCTTAAGGCAGAGATGCACATTCTGTTGAATGTTTATTCTTTGTGTATATTCCTCTGCAGAGAATGTGATCAATGGGCAGGATTATGAAGTGATGATGCAGATTGACTGTCAGGTGATGGACACCAGGATCCTCCACATCAAAAGCTCATCAGTTCCTCCCTACCTCCGAGATCAGCAGAGGAATCAAACCAACACCTTCTTTGGTTCCCCTCCAGCAGCCACGGACACAACCCATGTTGTCAGCACGATCCCTGAGTCATTACAGTAGCACCTGCACCTACGTTGGAAAACTAAGAGTGGTGCCCTGCCAAGGTGAAGAGCGGGTGAGAGAAATGCTGCTTTTTCTGCCTTCTTGGTGGCAGGCAGAGACCTGCCTTGTGCTAGAATTCAAGGGGAGAGAGAGGGAAAAAGGCTGCTGCTGCATTTTTACCATCTACTTGGAAAACACTGGAATTCAGACACAAGAGAACATGTCTTCGGTGGCAGATGTAGCCCTGCATCCTCCCATGTTACCAACTGAGGATTTTTTCTGTACCTCTCTAAATGGCTACACCCTTTGTATTTGTTTTCTGTTTAAATAGTCACCTTTTTTCAAATAAGATCCACCTCCCCTTTTTGCCATTTTATGTTTTGATGCAGTAAAGTGAATTTTTTTAAAGCTGTACAGCACACAGATGTTTAGATGGTTTCCACTGATTGGATCTTTCATTCACTTAATACAAAACCATTCTCGGTATTGTGCTCACTTGAGAAGACAGATTTCAAAACCAGAATAGCCAAAAACAGTCCAGAAAGAGACAAAACAATTTGGAGCTTTAGGGGAAAGGGAAAACCCCCAGTTGGTAAAGTTTATTTTTACTTAGGATTTGTGGTTCACACCTTAATGAATAAGTGTTTGGGGGTCAGGGTGGGTAGCAAATTTAGGAGAATGATATGGAAGGGAAGGGTCAGTGGTGGAGTTCTGAGAGAAAGAGATAGCTCTCAAATTGAAAGTTTGATACAATTATAGTTTAAGACTTAACGCTTACAGCTACCAATAGAGGACTCTAGGCCAGCAAATACTAGCACACATATGTATGTCTTCTCTTTACTAATCGAGGGCATGTCTTCTGGGACCACAAGACAGATCCTGCGTTTTCATTGTGAGTCCCCACCACGTCACACATCACCTATTAATATGACACCAAATTCAGCTCAGGACCACGGAGGTGACTCTAGAATGAAGCAAGGCAGCCTTTTCTCTTGAGAATTAACAAGTGTTTATTCCAGAAAGCAGTGCAGACAGGCAATTCAGCAGAGTGGATTCTTGCTGAGGGAGTGCATCCCATAATATGGCAATAATTTTCCGTTTCTTCAGTGAAAAGACAATGAAGGAATTAACTCTTGTGTCTTCCATTGTTTAAAAAAACAAATGTTTTGTTGGATGAATTCACAGAAGTGAATCTCAGGGTGATGTACTCCTCTCTGATATTGGACCTTCACCTTCTAAAGTGGGTCTTTCTCCTTCTCTTTCTCTAACACTTTTCGATTTCTTGATAGAACTCATTCTACAAACACTTCTTCTCACCCCCTCTTGATTTGCCATGTCCTATTTCTCCCCTTTCCGTTCCACACTATATCCCTCAATTTTTCTTATTCCTAGCAAGATAGGGAAAGGGAAATTATATCAACTCTCAAGGATTACATGCAGCCTGTTATTTTTTTGCCTGTGAAATTAGGCCTGGCTCTTGAACATTTTAAAGACTCACCAACATGTCTAGCTCTCTGGACAGGTGCCTCTCTGCCCAAGCCAGTAAAGGAAGGCTCTCTTGTTCTATTACCTGCGAATCTGGAATTTGTAAAGTGCTAGTTAACCTTCCTCTTTTTCCACATCACAAACCGTTTTAGGTCTGTGCAGCACTCCCCTCTGATTTGGCTAGCCTGGGTGATTTTCAGACAAGAACATTTTCCCTGGGGACCATTCTTCTAATGGGTGCCAAGGAATTGAAAGCAAATGCCTAGAAGATCATTGGGCTACTGGGCAGTCTTCTCATGGGACTTTTTCCTCTGACCTGCTCCTCACGCTCTGTAATGTGAACTAGACCAACAAGAGGCTGTGACTGTGGCCAGTAGGCAGCAGTTACATTGTTGTCCTCCAGCTGCTGATATTCTGCTGGAACTCCCTCATTCTGCTAGAGACACACACAGTATGTGTGTAGTGATGATGGCAGGAGCTCCCTCCTCTCCTTTGCACTGACTCACACAACAAGGACCCATCACATGCACTTCATGTTCTTAGCACTTTCCTTTTAAGAAGAACTAATACCAATCCTACCTAAACTATTCCCAAAAATCAAGGAAGAAGGGTTACTCCCAAACTCATTCTATGAGACCTATATCATCCTAATACTAAAACCAGACCAACATGCAACACAAGAAGAAAAACATAGGCCAGTATCTCTGCTGAACATAGTTCCAACAATCCTCAGCAAACTACTAGCAAACTGAATTTAATACAACACAGTAAAAAGATCATTCATCATGATCAAGTGGGATTCATCCCAGAGATGCAAGAACAGTTCAGCATTCACAAATCAGTCACTGTGATATGTCCTATCAACAGAATGAAGGGCAAAATCCATATTATCATTTCAGTTGATACTGAAAAGCACTTTGCTTTAACTTTATCCCTCTATTCCCAGCTTTTTCTGCTTTTGTTTTAACAACTCCTCAGCCTAAAGACTTCAATTATGTCATGTTCACCAACAGTAATGGCTCTCTTAAAGGCGACGGTTAGAAGGGAGTCACGGCTAAAGAGCTGGCAGATGTTGGGAGGGTTGGCAGCCCCAGCCATGGAGCTAAGAGTACCAGTGAAGTGATAGGCCAAGCAGTCAGGAGCCTTGCGTTTTCTTTTCCCTCACTGGCCTTTCAGCTCCTTGTCATTACCTGCTCTTGAATTAACCTCTTTGAGATGAGGGAATAGGATTCTTCTCAGGGTAGTTTCAGGAAATGAGTGAAAGGCAACTGACAAAGGCAAAGAAATATTCTACTTTTTTAATTGCTGGTATAGCTGTTAATCCCTGGGCACAATAGTAGTTTCTATTAATGTTTGTGAGCTAACACGAGGCCCTTTGGGAAGTGGAAAATTGCTATGCCAGATTAATAAATTAAGTGGGCATCTGGGCTTACTTGGGGTGGATGGGAGGGGATGGGATTGACTTCTAGGGGTTGCAGCCAGAAATTGTGGGAGATATGTATATATATTTTTTTAATTTATTAAGTTGTGAAATGGGACTTTGCAAACTTATGATGAAATTAAGTAAACCCATGGAGGAGGCAAGTCTTCCTGTTATTAGATGATTTTGTGCCCTTTGGGCCCATAATACTACAATCTTGGGAAGTGATGGTGGAGACTGATGGGAACCATCTTTCTGCCTTGTTGAAAGTCCCCAATTTTTAGGTTTAATGAAAGTAAGTGGATGTTTCCTCATGTTAACTATTGAGTCAGAAGTTAGGGGCTTTTACCTCTTGAAGTTAACTCATACCAGCAACACAGGGACACAGCTTCATTAGAGTGTTAGTGTAAACTAAATCCAGAGTTAGAAGTTAATATGAAAGACAGATGTATTGTTTGCCATCCTTGTAGGATAGAATCTTTACATTGGATTATTGAGTTGGGTTTGTGTTCTCATATGTAAAAAAATCCTTCATAATTATAAAAGCTCGGAGCATCTTCCAATTTATTTTTAAATGACTGCAAGTTCCAGCACAAAACTGGCGTTTCCTTGCCTTTCCTTGCTAGCAAGAAGTAGACAAGAGGTATTTGAAAGCAGCAGTGTTGTATGAGTCATTCTTGAACGTTCCAAATGAATTTAGGAAAAGACAAGGAACTTGGGATTCACACTGATTTTTCTATCACTTTTAAAGAGACACTGTTCTGATTAAATCCTCTGGCCTAAATCTTCCTCACCCATGTGTATTCCTCAGTAGTCACAGCTGATAAGGGTCTCAGCTGATAAGAGCCTGTCACTGTGGCATTTAGCATGATTAATGCTAGAGAACTCCCAAGCTCTTCACCACTTTCATACTAATTTTTTAATTCTTGCCATTTTTCTAAGCTCAGGTTCTGAAACTTGACAGGAATGTATCACAGGAAAAAACTTGTATTTGACTTTCTAACACATTGAAAACTTTCAAAGCGACTTCCAATTTCAACAACTTATTAGAAGTAACCACTTTTGCTTTCACAGCCTGAAGAGCCAGAGTCTGATCCAATGCCCCCTTGCAGTCTGACCTCATGGAAACTTTCCGTGCATGAAAGCCTTCTATCCCCTGCATACTGACGGGCTGACTCAGCTTCCTTTGGCAGACTGAGGCCTTTTCATGCTATCGGCTGTTTCATACAAATTAACTATTCAAGTAAGATTGCTTATGGCCAAAATTGATAGACACCCATTATCACCTATGGAGCCCATATTCCTTACCGGAATGTTATTTTCATCAGTCCTGGCTCATTTTAATTTATAGAGATTACGATCTTCGCTGTTAATATAAATACCAATTAGAACTTTTACCTTAAAAAGAAAGCCTAAAAGAAAGAGAAAGAAATATGAAAAATTTCATCCCTACCCCTAATAACAATTGAAAGGGTAAATTCCTGTTTCCCACACCCACAGGGTTTGTGACTGATTTTTAATTATTTGGGGAATAGAATACTGGACTACCTAAAAAGATGTTACCAGAGTCCAAAATGAACTATGCACAGAAAAGAAATGCATTTTTTCCCTAGCAGAATGTGTTCTATTAACTTATATTTTTAATGACTAAGCTTAAAACAAAGTTTATTTAAATAAGACTAAAACTTTTAGCAGTTTGTTCTAATATCTATTGTTAGCTGTCATGTGCAATAGAATTTATAAAAAGAATGACAAAGGTATCAAGAAGTTCCGTTTTATGCATGAATCGTGTCATGGCTAGCCATTGTGACATAGTGGACGTCATATTCAACATATTGGTTTGCTAACTTTAAGCATTAAGGATTTATTACACTAAAAGGCTTACATTAGGCTTGAGAACCAAGGAGTAAATAAATCATAATTTACCATTTACCAAGATCAACAAACACCACACTGTTGCCCCCGGTGAAGTTGGCGACCATTAGTTAAATAAATCAAGAGGCTGGACATATACCCCAGTATGCTAATCCCAGCCAGAGATGATCAGTTTGACTTTCACAGCAAATGTATAGTAAACCATTTTAACTCATACTTAGCTCTAATTTCCAGGCCAGTCACCAGGATAGAGGAGATGAGGAGGAAAAAGAGTTTTAGATGAAAACTACTAGGTACTGCTAGCCTCAGAGATACTAGTTTCCTGTTCTCATCATGTTGCCAAGTATGATTGAGGTAACAGTGCTTCACTTAGGGAACCATTAGAACCTGAGGAGAGAGTGTCAGAGTGCTATTTCATCAGGATTTTCTTTCCAAGGTTGTAGCCATGCTAATTTAAGAACATGTTACAGATAAAGAAGGTAAAGGAGGGAATGGTGTATGTTGGTTTACAGTACCTAAAGAAATAATAACAGACAATTTCATACTTTGAAGCAAGTCTTTATAATGCAATACTTGTTCTTTCTCTGAAATTCAAATAAAGAATTTTTAAACTTGCCTTGTTTTATTCTGTATATCAAAAGAAGCCCCCAAATGAATCTTCATTGTTAAGCAGTTAGTAATGGGAAAGGAAGCTTTAAAAGGGTTTGTGGCTTGTGTTACTGTTTAGATGAAACTGTTGTAACTCTTTTCCACTCTTTTCTCAAGCCTGGGTAAGTAAAAATTTCCTTTATTTAAGTGTCCAGATACATGAACTACAATCTTATCAAGGAAAAATTTATCTGAAACCCATTCTTCATCTTTCTATCTCATCAGGAAACTGGTTACTCACATCCAGTCTAACTAAAGGCCTCTCCCCAGGTTGGAATGGCAAATGCTACCATTCGTGAAGCTGGTTACTGCAAACCAACAGCAAATGGTCCACCCAAGAGTAACTGATGCAGATATTTACTGAGTGCCCAGGGAATGCCTGAGACACTGGTTTAAGTTTATTAACTGTATTATCTTATTTCAGTCTTCTCTATAATCCACTTCCTAAGATGTTACATGACTAGTAAGTGTAGAGCCCATATTCCAACCCAGGCAGTTTAGCTCCAGCACATGGATTATGAAGCAGTGTATTGTTCTGCCTCCCAAGACGTAGATCCAGCACAGGTTGCAGCCCTCTGAGAGCTTATAGATATATAAATATACAACAGGATATAGCATAAGGGTTCTCTTAGAGGCAAAATTGCATTTGTTTCAGAAGATGTTTTTATAGATGTATCTATAATAGAAAGTGATCCCCTCCCCATCAAGAAGGAGACCCACCTCAAATCACTTCTGAAGAGATAGTTTGCAGAGATTGGAGGGTAAAACAGCAGAAGACAGAAATTGGAACTAAGCCACAGGACTGGAGACTGGAGCCTCCAGAGAGGAGTCTTATGAAAAGACTCCCTAGTGGCAAGAGGGCAAAGGACTTTTACACACTGTGCTGCTAAGATATAAGTCCTCTTCATTATTCCTACTCTGCCGTAAAGGCTGATATGCAGCTTTATATCAGCATTGTCTTGGGGAGTGGGTGAATGAGGGTAGGGTTCAGTGTGGTATAAGTAGGGAAGAAGAAAGCATGCAGACAGCACAGCAAGGTAATTCACGTGCTGAAGTGCTGTGGAAGTGACAGAGATGAATAAGGGAACTGCAACCTCTCTCTACCCCCGCCACCAAATCCTTATGGGATTGTCCCCTGGGACTTGTCACTGTGTATAGGATATGATTCAAGCCAATTTTGAATCTCAGAAGATAACCACAAATGATATTTGGAGTCCACAATACAATTCTAGCATATACCCTGCAATTTATCTAACTGTTCCCCTTTTGGGAAAGATTTAGACCACTTAACAATGTTTTTTTTGCCTTTCTTCTGCTGTTTTGCCTACCACTGCTTCTATAATATAGTTCACTTCATGTTCACTCAGTGTAATCTGTACAAATGCCCAAAGAGAATCCTTAATTCAGCAATGGCAATAGCTGATGTTTATTGAAGACTTAGCCTTCCACCAGTCTTTACAAGCATTTGCTCTCTCAAGCTTTATAAGCCTTGATCATAGAGAAGTATTATTATCCATGTTACAGATGAAGAAATAGGCACAAGAGAGTAAGTAACTTTCCTAAGGTCTTACGATAAGTACACAGCAGAGTTGAGATTTGAAATTGTCTATCATTACTTTAAAGCAACATTCTTTCTGCTCTACATGCCATTCATCCATTGAAACCATAAAGGATGACAATAAGAGACAAAGGAGAGAGGAAGAAACCAAGCTATACAACACTAGTAACCAGGAGGTTGAGGCATGTTCAGGAAAGGGGCAGTAGCTAAGAGGCAAGGTCCAACAGTACTAGAGGGTTTTCTGTGAAGGACTCCCTCAAAAGGCATATACTCAATACAGGCTGCTATACTGACTTTCCTGGACCTCAGCCCCTGTGGCCCCTATCTTGGATGAGTCTTGCCCCAAGGGGAGTGGAGATAAACTGGGTCCTCCCACCACTGAAAGTCCCATGCTCTGCCAACACTCACACTCTGCTCACATCCAAGATCCCAGGTGTGATATCCAACCCCATCCCAGAATGCAGCCATTTCTTACTCTTCTGATCACAAGTTCTGTCTTGGGAAAGTTTTCACTGAAGAAAAAACTCCAAGTATCAATGCCATACCATGAAATAGAGATGTTTATGTAAGAGATTACTAATCTGCCAATTAAATATTAAAGTTATTTGGTTCAGAAATGAAGGACATATCTTAAATATGACATACCATATTAATAAATGGATCATCTTTTAAGATTATCTGTAGTAAGTACTGTTACTCAAAAAACTGTGCTCCTGGTGGGGGGAGGGTCTTTCTTAAAAGGCTAAGAAAAAATATTCCTTTTAGTTACATATAGGCATAGCTGATATTTCTGCAAACATCAACTGAGTACAAAGGAAGAACTGAGAAAGCCTTAAAATCGATCTCGGATTTTCATTTCCAATTTGTCCTATTTTATTTTGGAAGCCTCCAAGAGTTATCCTTGTTGCCTAAGCCTCTAGTGGAGCTTGGATTCTTTGACTGAATTTCTTCACAGACAGTGGGCGAGAAGCAAGGACCCTGGAATTTAAACTTTTACTGCACAGAATTAAATGAAATAAAAAACAAAAGAACCATTCAGAAGATTAAAAATACAAAAAGTTGTATTTGAAAAGAAAATAAATTACCTTTGGCCAGATTAACTAGAAACAGAAAAGATCTCTCATAAGCTCCATCAGAAACAAAAAAAGGGGGGAGAGGAATAACTGATAACCACAGAGAGACAAAAGGTCATCGCTGAATATTGCAAAAAACTCTATACCCAGAAATTGAAAATGTGGAGGAAATTGACCAATTCCTAGAATCACGCTACCTCCCTAGACTCAACCAGGAAGAAAGAGAACACTTGAACAGATCAATATCAAGCACTGGAATTACAACTATAATAAAAAAGCTTCCAACAAAAGAAAGTCCTGGACCAGGCAGTTTCACACCAGAATTCTACCAAACCTTCAAAGAGGAGCTCATACCAACATTGCAGAACTTATTCCAAACATTGAGAAGACAAAGGAACCCTTCCCAATACCTTCTACAAAGCAAATATCACCCTAGCAAAAATAATAAAATACTAGCAAACACAATTTAGCTACACATCAGAAAAAATAATACATTGCAATCAGGTGGGCTTTGTCCCAGGGATGCAAAGCAGGTTCAACATATGCAAATCCATATATGTAATTCATCACATAAACAGAAGCAAAAACAAAAACCATATGACCCTCTCCATAGAAATAGAAAAAGCATCTGAGAAAATTCAGCATCCTTTTTTGATAAGAACACTTGAGAAAATAGCCATAAATGGGACATTTCTTAAACTAATAGAAGCCATCTACAGCCAACATCATACTGAATGGAGAAAAACTGAAAACATTTCCATTTAGAACTGGAACCAGACAGGGATGTCCACTGTGGAAGTCCCAGCCAATGCAATTAGGCAAGAGAAGGATATCCAAGGTATCCAAATGGGAACAGAGGAGGTCAAACTATTGCTCTTTGCTTATGATATGCTAGCATAGTTAGAAAGTCCCAAGGACTCAACCATGAGACTCAGGGAAGTGATCAAGAAATACAGCAGCATCTCAACATATAAAATTAATGTTCACAAATCAGTAGCCTTTATATAGGCCAACAATAGTCAAGCTGAGAAATCAAAGACAAAGTATCCTTCATAATAGCTCCAAAGAACATGAAGTACCTTGGAATTTACTTAACAAAGGATGTGAAGAATCTCTACAGATAGAACTATGAATCACTGAGGAAGGGAATCGCAGGAGATATTAAAAAATGGAAGAGCATACCATGCTTATGACTGGGAAGAATCAACATTGTTAAAATGTCTATACTACCCAAAGCAATCTACATATTTAATGCAATCTCCACTAAAATTCCACTGTCATACTTTGAAGAACTTGAAGAAATAGTTCTTTCATCAGTACGATGTTGTCTGTGGGTTTGTCATAGATGCTTCTATCAGTTTAAGAAATGTCCCAACTGAATAACTGACATAATTCCATAAAAAAGAACAAATCTGGAGGCATCACATTACCAGACATCTACAAAATGAAGGTTATAAGCCCATAGTGTTCAAAACAGCATGTATTGGCACAAAAATAGATATATAGACCTTTGAAACAGAACAAAGAATCTAGAGATGAAACCAGCCTCATATCACCATCTGATCTTTGATAAACCAAACAAAAGCATATACTGGGGGAAAGAATCCCTATTTAATAAATGGTGCTGGGAGAACTGATTAGCCCCATTTAAAGGGCTAAAACTGTATCTGCACTCCTTGCCACTAATAAAAATTAGCTCACAGCAGATAAAAGACTCACATGTAAGACATGAAATGATAAAAACTCGAGAAGAAAAGTATGGGAAAAACTCTTAACTATATTGGCCTTGGAAATAATTTATGAAAAAGACCATCCCAAAGATACAGCAACAACAAAAATAAATAAATGGGACCTGATTGCATTTTCAAGTTTCTACACAAGTAAAAAGATAATCAATGAAGCAAAGGGACAACCTTCAGAATGAGATATTTGCATGCTACAAATCCAAAACAGGGCTAATAAGCAGAATCTACAAAGAACTCAAGCAAATCAACAAAAAAAAAGAGCAAACAACTCCATTAAAATCTGGGTAAGAGACATGAACAGAATCTTTTCTTATGAGGACAGATGAACGGCCAATAAACTAATGAAAAAATGCTCATTGTTTCTAATTTTTAGAGAAATTGCAAATCAAAACCACTTTGAGATATTGCCTAACCCCAATGACAATGGTCCCAAAGCTATAGATCTAGAGAGGAGGGAACACCGTTGGGACTGCAAACTAGTATAGCCTATGGAAAGAAGTATGGAGGGTTCTCAAAGAACTAAAAGTAGACCTTCCATTTGATCCTACAATCCCATTACTAGCTATCTATCCCAAAGTAAAAAAGTCATTTT